GTAATGAGGTCTGGTGCCCTCTTCTGGCCTTCAGGCATACACACAGACAGAATATTGTATACATAATAAATAAAATAAAATTCTTCAGGAAGTAACAGAAGCATTATTTTAGATGGAGGAGTGGGGGGATGGTAACATGGCTAAGATAAAGCATGATTTTAAATGGAGGGGGCTGGGAGGTAGTAACGGTTAGGAACACTTTTTGCTCTTGTGGAGGTTCAGTTAGGTTCTTAGCACCCAGTGGTGGCTCATGACCATCCCTAACTTCAGTTCCAGAGCATCTGATGCTTTCTTCTGACCTCTGTGGGCACCGGGCACACACATGGTACACATTACATGCCAGCAAAACACTCACACATAAGCAAAATAATCTAAACATTTTTTCTTCAAAGGAGTGGAGAAACTGAGCTGAACCCTTGAGGGGCACACACTAGTCCACTGTGCTTTGCTCTTGATGGTGGGTGTCATGTGACGGTTCTCTTAAACCCCTGCTGCTGTGATTTCCCACGATTGACCGCAATCTGAAGTTTTAGCTGAATAAACCTTTTCTTGCTTAATTGCTTTGTTAGGGCATTTCATCTCATTTTATCAAATGGAAATTGCAATGGAAAAGCAAACTAAAGCCTGACTATAACGACGCATCACATCCCACTCTGAACAAAGGCTACAAAATCCTAGGCAATCCAAGTAAAATAAGCCCCTGTGAACTAGCTCATGTACTTGTCATTAGGGACAACTGATCACTACCAGCTAAGGGCCTCGTGGGTATCAGAGATGGGAAAAGAGGAGGAAGGGCAGGCATTAGTGAGGAAGCTGAAAATGAGAGAGGCAGTCTTTGATGCTGTTTCCTGGGTCAGACAGAACTGTGTTCATGGATGAGTTAACAAACTGATTCAGCAGAGACCTCCAAATTGGTGTGGGGCTTCATTGGCCTCACTCAGCCCCATGACTCCACATTTTCTTTATAAAATAAGAGACATTCTGGCAGATTTGGATTATTTAAATTGGGTTCAAAGGATGCCAAGGACTGAGGAGGAGATGGAAAAAGAGACCAGCAGCCAAGGGGGTTTGTGTTGGTCACTCACAGGCTTATGCTGCAAGACTTTTGTCCAGGTGGGTTTCCTAAGGAAAAGCAGACCCCAAAACACTGTGCTAGTGAGGTTTTACAGCCTGAAAAACAGTTCATAGAAGACATAAATGGCAAAATGATTGTATTTGTTATAGGAGTGAACCATTGTTCCCCTAGACTATGCTGTGCACATTTCTTCCCCGCAAGGAATCTTTCTGAGGTAAAGACTATTTGTTCAGCCCAGGGCTCTGTCCGCAGGCTGTCATGACTGAAGGTCAGTTCTAGAAGCAGGTACACACCGCTATCCGGGCCACACAGTACAAGCCGGCCCTCCCATACCACTGAGTGTGGAGAGACGTACTGTGGCCCCTCCCATACCACTGAGTACTATGGTACTGAGTACTGACGTACTGTGGCCCCACTCAACATCAGTGCCCAGGATGCTCAGGGAAAGTGCCTGGATTGTGGAGGTAGATGAGAATGTCACTTTTCAGTGACACAGCTCCTTTTGACTTAACCCATCCTCCTGTAAGCAACCCCTGACCCATGCACCTGCAAGCAATCCTAGCAAGTTCACTGGTTCAAGCTGGATTTAGGTAGAATCTGGCTTATTTTCCTTTTGGTATGTTGCTGGTGCTCTATCTGAAGTGAAGAGGAATAGAGGTATTTGCTCACATCTTCCAAGAAAAACTTACATGCAAAGTTGTTTTTTTTTTGCCTTGTCATTATTTCCTGAGCAACATAGGATAGCACAATTTATAGAGAAGTTACATTGTAATCATCATTTTAAATAATCTAGGAGTGATCTCTCTCTCTCTCCTCTCTCTCTCTCTCTCTCTCTCTCTCTCTCTCTCTCTCGATGCCACCCAATGAAAGAATGGATAAAGACAATGTTGGACATTTACACAACGGAGTATTACTTGGCCATTAAAAAAAAAGACATCATGGAATTTGCAGGCAAATGGATGGAACTAGAAAAAAAATCATTTAGAGTGAGGTATTCCACACCCAGAAAGACAAATATAGTATGTATTCACTTATGAATAGATGGAAGCTGCTAAGTCAATGATAACCAAGCTACAATCTGTAGAGCCACTGAGGTTAGGTATAGACTAGAAGGTACAGAGAGATCTCATTAGGGAAAGGAAATAGAATAGATAGTGATCTGTGGGAGCCCACGTGTTGCTCAGTTTCCATCTGGAATCATTTCTGACTTAAAGTCATTTGAGTTCAAGCTTGCCTGCTCTACTTTTTCTTATAACCTTGAGGGCTATGAGAGTCTTCTGATTTAGCCCATGAGAAAAGAACACTCTATCTAGTAGACAGTGTACTGCTGACGACAAACCTCAGGAACATCAAGATAGAAAATAAGGCTGCTTCCGGGCAGCAAGCATATGTTGGAGAGGAGGCTGCTCACTCAAGGACAGGAATGGTCTTGTGGTTAGATACTGACTGACCGCCTGTGCTGTGCTTTGTTCTGCTTAAATAAACTCGGGGCTGTTTTGGCATGGCCAGACAGACCTCCCTATTCTATCCTGTCTTTTATTTCTTCTGACTTTTCTTTGGCCTCAAGGATCCCCTATCCGGGAACTCTAGCTGACCTTTAAGGCTCCTCCAGTGATTCTTTGGGAGGAGGCTGGAACAGGAGGATCAAGTGGGGATTGAATGGAAGAGGGGGATGAGGGAGGGAATATGGGGAGAGACAGCTAAAATCAAGGGCTGTTTGAGGGGCAATATGTAAACCTAACATAGTAGAAGCTCCCTAAAATCTATACATATATAAAGGTGATCTAAATGAAATCAACGAATAATGGGGAAACAAAGTCCCAACTGTCTGTCTCTCCACTTCCACCAAGTGAAGCTTCCAGTACCAGAACTGGGTTACATCTAACTAAGTTGTTAGGCAAAGGGGTCCCATAGAAATTCCCAAACAGCCCAGGCTGTTGCCAAGACTATAAGTTGCTCTCCGGAAACGGAGCATGACGTCATTGCTGAGACAGCACCCACACAACTCACTGAATATGGAGAAGTTGAGCTGGTGCCCACGTAGAGAATTCATTCCTACATGTAGTGTCTTTGGTAGAGGAGGATACCCTTCAGACAGCCAAAGGAGAAATATAAACGCTAACCCAGCCACAGACCCTTTGATCTACAGTGGTGTCCTGCCTGCAAGAGTTGCTAATGCAATCCTGGCACAAAGTTTGTGGGAGTTCTGAACCAATGCCTGATCGGATCTAAGGCCACTCCCTGAGATGGAACCCATACCCAACACTGCTTGGACGATCAAGAACCAAAAACGAGACAGGTCTGGGAACTAGGGTAAAAACAGCAATTATTGCTCTTAAAAATGGAAGCAATCAAATGCCTCCTAATCACATCCTGCTATACACATAGATCAGTGCCTTGCTTATCAGAGAGGCTTCTGCCTGCAGCAGATACAGAGACCCATAGCCAGATATTATGCAGAAAGTAAGAAACCTTGGGATACCCAGCCCGTTTGTCTCCATCACATTCCACCCCCATACACCCCACGCCAGATTCACAGAACCCTGTGGAGCTGAAGGTAGAAAATAAGAGCCCTCTAAATCAACAGGATCAACATGCAGAAGAACTCTGATTGGTTTAATTATAGGCTGAATGACCAAATGGCTAGGCAGGATTTCCAGGCACAGAGGACACTGGAAGAAGAAGGGTAGAGATGCCAGGATGCAGAGCAAGCTGCATAGGCATCTTAAAGTAAGTAAAGGTAATCGAGCCACACAAAAGAACGTAGATTAAATGATATGGATTAATTTAAGTTATAAGTGCTGCTTAGAAACAAGCCTGAGCTATTGGCCAAGCTTTCATAATTAGTAGTAAGTCTCCATGTTGTCTTTTGTGGGCTGGCAGCCCAAAGAAAAATCTGCCTACAGAGACAGCACGCACAGGGCCTGCATGGGTCTGCACGGGGTCCTCTTTGTATATTTTATGGCTTCCAGTTTAGTGTTTGTAAGAGATTCCTGAGTGTGCGAATGAGCAGGTCTCTGATTCTTGTGCCTTTTCTTGGGCTCTTTTCCTTCCTTTTGTCTTACTCAATTCCAATGTGTTAGGTTTGTTTTATCTGTTGATTTGGATGGGAGGAGAAGTGGAGACAGAAGCTTGGAGGCGTTGGGGGAAGATAAACCATAATCAGAGGATATTGTGTGAAAAACATCTATTTTCAATAAAAAAAAAAAAGTCAGCTGAGGATTCCAGACAGACCCAAAAGCCCCACAAGGGGACCTTGATTTCCTGGGTATCACATCATGTCTCTGCTCGGGCTCCCCATGATCTCTGATAATACTTCTTTCCTACCTTTTAATTCTTTAATTGGCAGAGAAAATGATCTCACTCTTGCACCCTTAAATGGTATCAAGTGGGTGAAAACAAGAGGGCCTGCATTCAAGTTCCCAGAACTTACATAAAAGGTAGGCATGGCCAGACATGCCATAATCTCAACATGTTGTGGGGGCAGAAACTGGTAGATAGCTGGAACTTAGGAGTAAGCCTGGCTGAAACAGTGAACTCTGGTTCAAAGAGCCAGTGCCTCAAAAGCAAGGTCAAGCACGAGAGAGGAAGACCCGATTTCATCTCCTGCTTCTGCATGTACATACAACACACATGTGGGTGTCCCCGACACACCCCAAATATCAACAGAGCAGACATGGGCATGCAGCACACACGTGAGTGTACCCCAAACACCCCAAAGATAAGCAGAACAAACATGTAGATGCAGCATGCACGTGGGCATGCACGTGGGCACCCAATCCACACACACCCCAAACATCAACAGGAAAAACAAAAAGATGCTGAACTTCCCTGTCAGAGGAAATACACAAACAATACTGAGACACCGCTTTAATTGAGTGCGAAATTACAAGCCCAAGTAGCTGCAAGTGTTTACCACATTTACCTGAGAGTATGGTATGAGAGTTTCGAACTGTTGATGAAGCTCAAGTAGCTGAATTAGCTCTGCATTCTTTTTGGCTTTTTCTTTAATCAGGTTAATGTAATGTTCAGGATTTTCTGCGAACGAATGTGCAGCATCTCTGGTGTTGAAAGTGTAGTATTTTTCTTTGTATTTCAAAATTCCAATGGTTGGATTTCCTGTGAAAATTAAGAACAGCAACCTGACTCGGCATATTTTTGTGATCAGCCACAGGACCAATGTTGCTGTGGTTTTGATTGTTTGGCTGGTGTTGGCAATTCACCCAGAGCCTTCCACATGCTAACCAATACCCTGCCACTGAGCTCACAAGTCCATCCCACATCTCCATTTTAATATGTCACCTCCATCCTTGTTTTGTTAAAAAGTTATTAAACGAGAAATATGTAAGTTCATATTAAAGTATATACTTTATTTTTAAGGTTAAAATATATTTTATGGTCAAGCAGTGGTAGTGCACACCTTTAATCCCAGCACTCAGGAGGCAGAGGCAGGTGGATCTCTGTGAGTTAGAGGCCAGCCTGGTCTACAGAGTGAGCTCCAGGGCAGCCAGGGCTGTCTCAAAAAAAAAAAAGTATATGTGGCTGAAGAGATGGCAGAGCAGTAAAAAAAATTTTTTTTGCATGACACGAGCTTCTGACTTCACTGTTTCTTTTTTTTTATTTTTTTTTTATTGAAAAAAAATTTCTGCCTCCTCCCAGCCTCCCATTTCCCTCCCCCTCCTCCCACTCCTCTCCCCCTCCCCTCACTCCTCTCCTCCTCCCTCTCCAGTCTGAACAGCAGTCAGGGTTCCCTGCCCTGTGGAAAGTCCAAGGTCCTCCCCCCCTCCACCCAGGTCTAGGAAGGTGAACATCCAAACTGGCTAGGCTCCCACAAAGCCAGGACATGAAGTAGGATCAAGACCCAGTGCCATTGTCCTTGGCTTCTCAGCAACCCTCATTGTCTGCCATATTCAGAGAGTCCGGTTTTATCCCATGCTTTTTCAGTCACAGTCCAGCTGGCCTTGGTGAGCTCCCAGTAGATCAGCCCCACTGTCTCCGTGGGTGGGTGCACCCCTCATGGTCCTGACTTCTTTGCTTATGTTCTCCCTCCTTCTGCAGAGCAGTAAAATTGAATAGAACTCTTGCACAGACCCAAATTCATCTATAGGCTCATGATCTCCCGTAACGCCAGTCCTCAGGGATTCCGTGCCTTCCGACCTCCACAGTGCCTGCACTCACGTGTATATAGCACCAGATGGACATATGCATATACACATGATTTAAAAATGAAGTAAATCAGGGCATGGAGAGATGGCTTAGCAGTTAAAGTGAGTGTTGCTTCTCCAAAGACCCTGAGCTTGGCTCACAGCATCCTTTCAGAGAACTCGTACCCGTCACTCCAGATCCTCTTCTCACCACCAAAGGTTCCCACACATGCTGCCTTTGCTTACACAGCAACACACACACACACACACACACATAAAAAAATACAAATAAATCTTTAAAAAAAACTGAGTTTTATATAACAACCTTCCTATACAGATGAAATACGTGTAAAAAAATCTTATGAAAACCATTTAGTCTATTTGACAAAATTTACAAACCTACTTAAATTGATCTGATTACTAAAGTGTAGAAGACATGAGGTTCTTGGGCTCACAGACAAGCCCTAGGGAAACCAGGAATGTTAAACACAAAAGGCTGTCTCTTCATCTCCACTCAGAAGGCTGGGAGTGGATATAGTTACTAGCCTGGTGATCTGTGCAGTCTGTAGAGCCACGACACATCTGAATCCCCAGACTGTGATGCTTTTCCAAGACTCTTCCTCTCTAGACCTGTATCCTGAGCACTGCTTCTCAGTCAACAGAGCCCATCTTTATGGAAGCAGTCACAAGCACTTTGCAAAAGAGTTTCAGTGTAGTCACGGCTTAGCTTTACTGGTGATAACTGTCACCAGGAAACTTTCTTCCAAAATGTACTGTATTTAAATATGTCAAAGATAAACTGTCCCATGTCAGACACTAGAAGTTTGAACCCAAACTGGCCACCGAGTCGTGATGAATTTGATTTCCTTCTCGCCTCACATACATAGTGACCTTGCTAGTCCTGGTGTTTGCAGAGACCCCGCACTAAAGCAGTGGTGTGTGTGTACATGAGAGAGTGTGTGCAGTGTATGTGCATACGTATGTGGAGATGTGTACGGGGCTAGTGGAGACAAGAAGACATTTAATCCTAGCACCCAGAAGGTGAGGCAGGAGGATTTCTGTGAGTTTGAGGCCACCATAGTCTACATAGTGAGTTCCAGGACTGCCAGGACTAAACAGAAAGACCTTGCTTCCAAAGAAGAAGATAAAGAAGAGGAGGAGCAGGAGGAGGAGGAGGGAACATCTGGGGTCCTTCTCTATCATTCTCCACCTAGTATTCCTCTGGGACAAGTTCTCTCAGTAAATCTGGAGTTAGGCCGGCAGACTACACGCCCCGGCTATCTTCCTGTTTCTGTGCCCTGGCTGGCCCCGTGCCAAGGTTATAGGACTGTGTACAGTCACAGTCAAAGCTAGCTTTTTTTAATGTGGATTCTAGGAATTTGAACTTAGGTCCTTCACTGTTGCTCAGCTTACCCACTAGCCATGTCCATAGCCCCTAATATAATGTTTCCAAAATAGCTCTCTAAGAACTACAAAAGCATGACATATTTTCCTCTATAAAAAGACGATGGATTATTACATATCCAAATGCCATGTGGAAAGTATACAGGAAATGGTCATACTGTCTTATTTACTTTTCCAACAAATAGTTGTTGACCCTTTTCTTGGAAAAGAGAGATACAGTAGGAAAACAAGCACCTACTCCCAACGAATCACAAATATATGAAAGGTCCAAGAATGGCCTGTGTTATGGGAATAACTAACTGAAAAATAAAGCAAGCAAGAAAATTAAATGCATAATAAAACAAAAAGTATGAGATTGGTATTTGAAAACATAGTGATGATGGAAGGGTTAGCAAAATGAACGAATAGAGAATGAGTTGGGGTAGACTGATGGAGAGAAAGACTTCTGGTGTGTAGGGATAAGCCCAGCCTATTAGCGGACGTGTTCACCTCGGGCTAATGTTTACTTATAAATCTAGCAAGGCGAGCCCGCTGCTCTCTCTGCTTCCCTGTTCTCCACGGGAACCGGTGGTTCTGTAAGTCTATTAAAGCTATATATATTATTACAATCTGTCTGAATTCATTTTACGCCGATACACTGGTGGGCATGAAGTCGTCTGGGAAGGACAAATGTGACAGAACGGTGAGCCAGTATCACACTGGGTATCAGCCATGTCGTCTGCAGTCCCTAACAGTAGAAGACATTCTACCAAGTCCCTCTGAGTGAGCAGCTGCTGGTGCCTAGGCAATGGTGCAGTAAGCAGAGATAACACAGCAAGCAGAGGCAAAAGGACCAGCACTGATGTATTCAGAGAGGACTCTGAGACACACAGCCTGACAGCCCTCCACATTCCTATTTCTCTTTATGACTAACACAGCGGTAGACTGTCTGTCTCTACCTCACTGCCATGGTTCTAGTGTGTTTGTTCCTCACAACAACATAAAGTATAAGTTACTTTATTCTCTCTACCATACAAGCACAGAATTCCAGAAATTCTGTGACAAAAACAATAGCCAACTGTTAAACAGAAAAATAAGAAAAAGATCAAGAAAAAGGACGAGGTTAGTGGAACAGTTCTTTCCAATTGCTTGCGCTGTAGTCTGTCCTGGTTTGTTTTCTGTTGCCATGGTACCAGCTCGGGGAAGGAAATGGCTCATTTCAGTTTACAAGCTTACAAGTCCATCACTAAAGGAAGCAAGGTAGGAACTCAAGCAGGATCTAGAGGCAGGAACTGAAGCAAAGAGCCATGGAGGAACCCTGCTTGCTGGCATGCTCTCCGTGACTTCTGCTGCTGCCTCTCTTACCGACCCCAAGACTAGAAATGGCCCTGTCCACAGTTGGCCGGGCCCTCCTATCTTAGTTAGCAGTCAAAACAAGGCCTCTCAGACACGTCCCGAGGCCAGCATGATGGAAGCAATTCTTTCTTTGGGGGTTCCTCTTCCTGCACATGTGGACAACTGGAGCTAACTAACACAGCCCTAGTGGTTTCTTGTCATTCCCCCCTCACACAACACTTTTTGAATAATAATGCAATGCCTCTATATCAAATTTACTATTTATTTTGGAAACATAATTTTATGTTTTATATATGTATATATGCATATATCACAGAGAAATGTTACTTAATAAAGTATTTCCTTAGAAGACTGTAATAGAGTCTTATGTTAATGGAGGGTAGTTGCAAAGAGATCAGGAACTTTTTGTTTGTTTGTTTGCTTGTTTTTGAGACAGGGTTTTTCTGTAGCTTTGGAGCCTGTCCTGGAACTAGCTTTTGTAGCCCAGGCTGGCCTCGAACTCACAGAGATCCGCCTGCCTCTCCCTCCTGAGTGCTGGGATTAAAGGCGTGCGCCACCACCACCTGGCTGAGATCAGGAACATTTTTAAGTGAACACATTAGTTAAATAAATATGTCTTTTTCAGTTAACTCTTCTAAAGACACGCTTTTTAGCACCGCTAAACCATGTCTCTGGACTCCAGTACACATGGGTCATCCCCTTCTCAAGGCACTACAGAAACCATGTTACATACATGCTGGCTGCCTTACTATGAAATGTGAAATGTTCCAAAACCAGAAACAATTTGAGTTCCTTCATGATGCCGCGAGCAGGAAATTCACGTGGTAAGTCACAGTAAAAATCTGGGTGCACTAAAGGCAGTGTACACTCTCAGGACTCTGTATACAATGTCTGTGGATCATGATTGGATTTTGTGTTTAAATGTGGGTCCCATCCCCTAATACATGTCCTTTTCCAAATCCACAATGAGAAATCCTTTTGGCCTGAAGTATTTTAGATCAGGGACAGTCAGCCAACCGGTTACAGCTCTCACCACCCATTCCTTACAACCTCTGCTGAATCCACCAGATTAGACTGGAAGCTCCGTAGGCGAGGAAACTGGACCATCTCTACATCTCCTGCCTGCTTCCGCATCTGTTTCCCAGGACAACCAGGCTGATACAGGAAGTACTCGGTATGGGACCGACATCACGAAGGCAGACTGTTACCTCCAACAACGTACCTGGGAGAAGAAGACCGTCTGTTGAAGCAAACGTGTAGCCACAAAACCCGCGGTACTGAATTACCAGTTTATCAAAATTTGCCGTTGTTTCTGGAAAAAGCCAATCCAGTTTTCTGAAATCTGGCAAGTGTACTCTTTCTTCTACAATGAAAGAGAACAGGAAATGGTTTATATCCCTTGAGAAGATGCAATTTCCTAAATGAGTCAGCAGAAGGTCATTCTAAACATTTCTATCATCTATACTGTTTCTGATGGACAAAGTTCCCCTTGGTCCGACTCACCGCGGTGGCATTCCTGTAAAGAAGTGTGAACACCCCAGTACTGTCCGCGTCTGAGTCAGGAACTCGCTAGAGCGAGTGTGGAAGCAGAACTTCGGCCTTTCAGAAAGAGCTGCTACGCAGTTGAGGGAAAGCGGACCAAAGCTCTTCGTTAGGGTGTGCAATGTTTCCTGCTGCCACACAGTACATCACCCAAGGAGATGAGCAGCAAGAACTGTTATGTGACCAAGGGGATCTTCTTCTTTCAAGACACCACTTTGAATAGTCCTTATATAACTAGACTGTGTCTCAAAACAGTAGAGAAAGTTCCAAACAGGAAGAAGATGTTTTTTACTAGCTCGACTTTGATTAAAAGGGTATACAATTTTTGTTCTTTAGACTTTTTTCTTAAATAGTTACTTTTATGCTGCATGCATATGTGAGTGCCTACACATGTATGTATGTTAATGCCTACACATGTATGTATGTGAGTGCCTACACATGTATGTATGTGTACCACATGCATGCCTGGTGCTCCAGAACCAGAAAAAGGTGCAGGGGTCCCCTGGTGCCACAGATGCAGGCCATCACTTGGGTCCTCTGCAAGAGCACTGAGCATCTCTCCTGCCTGTTCTCTTGACCTTTACAGACAGCTCCTGACACAGGCTGCTTTACCTAAGTGGATAACTAAAATGAAAAATTAGATACAAATGATATCTTCATGAAAAACTATTTTCCAGGATTCCTGACTTTTACAATTGCACATATAGTTCTAATGTGTCCGAATCCAGATCTAAACAGCCAACATCCTGTTTGTCCTGACCTTGTATCTACAACTAACAGTAAGGTCTAACTTGGAATAAAAATAAACATTTTATCCTGATATGCCCAAGATTTCTAGGAATGATGAGTGGGTAAAAAATAAATTCTTTCAGAAGAATATTGGTTCTCCCAATTCACCAGAGAATAACCTGATCAAATACTCTAAAGAAGAGAAAGTTCTCACTCCAGTAGGAAATGACATCTCTAAATCTAAGAAGTTGCAGCTTAGCTGAACACCCTCAAGTGAACTTACTTCAACTTTTAAATTTCATTTCATATCTGCTTAGACATACTGTTGTAATGAAGTCACATAAGTAATAAAACAGGTACTAGGGGATTTTAGGGTATCCTGATATTCATCTTTCAGGTTTTATGTATTGTAATGATTTAAGAAAGGGAGTCACTGTAATATTCTTATTTTCTACTTTTACCAAAGTAGGATTTGAAAAAGAAATTAGTAAATTATCTAATTTCATTTTTTCTGCAAAAAAGTGAGTATTAAGTTCTAACCCCTACTTCAACACTTCTCGTGAATTTTAGATTGTCTTTAACTAAGATAGAAAATGTAGAAAGTTGATGAAATGATAGAAAGTTGACTAATAATTGTCAGCCTTTCTATAAGAATAAATACATCTTTTAAAAGGCCTAAAATTAGCTCAATTAATTTTATAAGGATAAAATTAATTGGTTCTTCTCAACTTGATACTAAGAAGATGTGTAGCAAATAACGTTCTCTATATGGAGCTTTATCTGCAACAATTGTGGCAGAAATGTTTCTCAGGATGCAACTGCAAAGCCAGTCTTGCAGAAATGCAAATGCGTAAGCACCCGGAGCCAAGGCACGAAAGGCTACAGTAAGATGCATTTTCTGGACAGCAAGACATTCAGTTTCCATATCTATATTTTTCACATTTTTTTGAGATAGGGTCTCTTGTAGCCCAGGCTGGCCTTGAACTTATTGTGTAGCCTAGGCTGGACTTGAACTCCTGATCCTCCTGCCTCTACCACCTACATGCTAAAAATTAACTGTGTGTGTCACAATGTTTGTTTGTTTGTTTTTCATATCTTCTATAATGAACACCAGTCTTCCATGATTAAGATGTTTAGTGTTTTATCAAGAAGCTATAGAATAAAAGTTTTAAAGCAAAAAGAGTGACTTGAAGCTACGGGCGACTTTAAAGAGGAGGAGCTAATGGCTAGTGTGCCTTACCTATGTGCTCCTTAATTCTAAAGATGTCACTTTTCACAGTGACATCACCCAGAAGGCCCTGGATCACCTTCTCGGGAAAGAGAAGCTCATGAGTGCCCAGGAACAGCTCCAGGTTAGTGGTCAGGTTGCTGAGGACACTAATCAGCACGGTCTCATCCTGGAAGCTCATCCACAGGCTGGCCAGTGCAATGAATATAGGCTAGAGAGAGAGAAACACTAAAGCCGTAACTGAGCGATGGAGTCATCACTGTATTTGGAGAAACAAATACGAGTCAGAAAAAATTCATTTTTTTATAAAGTCAAAATTTTACGAAACTAGAGAAGGCTTCTGAGTCAAGAGGAGGGAAACCTGTGTTTTCTTTCGAAGTATTTCATTTGCCATAGCTGTTATAAAGGTATTTACTCAGAAAGTAAGCTACACAAATGATTCACTATAGTTGATTTATGTGGCCCAATGACGAATCCAAAGACCCAGGAGCGCATACATGTGCATCTCACGCACATCAAGGGAGCTGCCTGCCAAAGCTTTAGATCAGGGAAATACAATATTTATTCACGGTAAAGGTTAGCTAAAATGACTTATCAAACAAACAGAAAATCAACCAGGCCTCACATAAGTTTGATTTTAAAGGCAATGTCGACAGTGAGACTACAGAAAGTCATCAAAGTCTCAAATGGTCTATACCCATGGGGACACGCGCACACTTTCTTTACTCCCTGTTCAGGTCAGGGCTGCAGTATTTTCTATAGCGTGGTGCTGTCATCCTGAGAGCTGATGCATGGTGAATAAAGGGTCACTTTCCTTTCAGCTAAGACGTAACTATCAGCTCTGAGCCAGATACGTGAGCACAGTCTCCCTCCCTCCCTCCCGCCCTCCTTCCCACTTCCCTATTTATCTCTCCCCATGTCCCGCTTTCTCTCTGCCTTCTCCCCTCCCTCTCTCCCTACTCCTGTCTGCGGGGAAGTGTGCAGAGGCCAGGGGTTGGTGGTGGGTATCTTCCCCAATCTCTCTCTGTCCTATTTCTTTATCAGGATCTCTCACTGAACCTGGAGCTCACTCATTGGCCAGGAATCCTCCTGGCTCTGTCTATCTGACACCACACCTGGCTTGTTCACAGCGGTACTGGGGATCTGAACTTAGGTGTGTGGCCATTTACCAATTAAGCTACCATCTCAGCTCTATAAGCACACTTTCAGTGTTACAATGGACTGCTTCTGTTGCCATAGATACTGTGGTCATCATTACCAGAAAGTATCATTTCCTTCAGTAACAACTGCCCTCATCAAACAAACTAAAACATAATCATTAAGAACAGGACCCTCTTATATAAAACTACTACATTGTATATGATAGTATCCTAAAGGAATACAATTATAAGGAATTTTGAACTGATTTATAAGACTCAAAAGGACGTTCAGCCTAAAGAAGTTACGCCTGCCATGGTGGCCACATGCCTGCATTCCAGCACCGGGGATGTGGGCACAGGAGGATCCACAGTAGAGGACAGCATGGGGTATCTACTGAGCTACAGAGTGAGGTACCGACTCAGAAAACCCACAGGCTAGGAATTAGCTCAGCAGTAGAGTTTGCGCACAGCTGGGTTTTGATCACAGGGGAGGAGTTTGGGCCCGTGAGATGACTCAGTGGGTCAACGCTCACAAGCCTGACAACGCAAGTGTAGTTCCAGGATCCCACTAAGAAAGTAGAGACCCTCTCTGCCCTCCACATGTGGCATGCCCCTTTGCCATCATAAATAAAATTTTAAAAAATACGTTTAAAAGAGTCAAAGTGCCAGGCTGTGGTGGCACACGCCTTTAATCCCAGCACTTGGGAGGCAGAGGCAGGTGGATCTCTGTGAGTTCGAGGCCAGCCTGGTCTACAAGAGCTAGTTCCAGGACAGGCTCCAAAGCTACAGAGAAACCCTGTCTTGAGAAACCAAAAAAAAAAAAAAAAAAGTCAAAGTTCAAAGTTCCTGATGGTGGTGGTGCACACCTGTGATCCCAGCACCCAGGGACAGAGGTGAGTGGATAGTTGTGAATTTGAAGCCAACATGGTCCACACAGCAAGTTCCAGGTCAGTTAGGGCTGCTCTGAGAGCCTGTCTCAACAAACGATGTCAAAGGGGATGGCAGCTACTTACAAAGACTTGCGATGTCGGGACAGCTGTTTTTGATTTTACTATCATTTTTAATTGTTCCAGTTGAGCTGTTAATTGTTTTATCATCATTTCCACTTCCTGAGCACAAGTAATTATATCTGACTGTGAAGACAGCATACTTTGTATTAATATTGTGTCATTTCGCTATAAATACCATGTTTAAGCCTTATCTGCTCCCAACCAAGTGACAGTGACGTTGTGAGGGCCACTCCCTGTCAGTGTGTAAGCCACATGCTCTGAATTACAAGTGTTGCAAACACACACATCACTATTTAATTATACCATGTTTCTAATCATACTATCAAGTGATGAGAAGCAACAACTATAAATTAACCTCTACCAAGTAAGTTCCACTAAGATCAATCCTAACTTGGCAATGAACCTTCCTAAGGTCACCTCCCTCGTGAGTCACCTCGTTCTCAAGTGACTGCGTTATATGGAAAATGACAGACTTTGTGACATTAGCTCACCAAAACAGTCTGAAGGAAGATCTCGTACTGCCGGATGTTGTACAGCGCTTCCTTTAACATATAGGACTCAAGCTCTTTGGCCAGGAGCGGGTTCGTTGTCACTTTCTCGATGATGGCTGTGTAGCGAAAGGCCTGTTCCTGGGCAATCTGAAGCTGGGAGTCGATATGCTGCGTGGTGGCTGGGATTGCTTCGTGGAGAATGGCTGGCACTGTTGTCAGGGTGTGAGAGTACAGGCACCAGGGCGTGGGGGAAGAATCAAGGAAAAGGACATCAGCAAGTAATTGCATTTTAAAGACCAAATTGAGTCAGATTTCCCTTATCAGATTGATAATAATGAGGCAGGTTTTTCATGGTCCCACCCCATGCAGAAAAGAACCTGTCAAAACAAAAACCAGTGTCAGAATAATAAGAAAAGTAGAACCAGGTCCACTTTCTCACTAAAATCTAGAAAATTCAGGTAGATTGTGGTGCCATGTACTGTATTAGCCATGCTCCTTTAGATAAATCACATTTAAAATGCAAGTATGAACCTTATCTGGACTCTGGACATAAAGAAGTCTATCAAAGGAAGGCACTCTCTGACTGGTGGGAGATTGTTGTAATTTTGATGTTTCTTTCCTGTGGAGGAGCATTCTGTCTACATACATCTGAGCAGCATGGCCACGGGGGCCAGAACTGGGTGCCATATCCCACGGAAATGGAGTTGTTACGTCACGGAATGGTTCTGAGCCACCATATGGTCGCTGGAACCAAACCCCTGTCCTCTGAAAGAGCAGCAAACACTGAGCCAACTCCCCAACCCCAGAATTTGATAGTGTATAACAAGTCTTAAAATAAAAAATAAACAACAATAATACCCTCATTGGACTAGGGGTGAAACTCAGTGGTCTCTAGCTCACAGACACAGCAAGGAGAGGGGCAGGTGGGGTGACCAGGGATCCGTGATTAGGTAAAGACGGGAATGCCTTATCAATGGGCCTGCAGAAGTCTAAATTCACATGCAATTACTTCTACCATTAGATCCTTTATTAGATATTTCCCAAGTATTTTCTTTTTTAAAAAATATTTATTTATTTATTATGTGTATAGCATTCCTTCCATATGTGCCCACAAGCCAGAAGGGGACGCCAGGTCTCATTATAGATGGCTGAAGGCCACCATGTGGTTGCTGGGAATTGAACTCAGGACCTCTGGAAGAGCAGTCAGTGCTCTTAACCACTGAGCCATCTCTCCAGCCCTCCCAAGTATTTTCAAAGTTACAAATAAAGAATGCACTATGGGTCTGCGTGTGGTGGTGCGAGCCTTTCATCCCAGCTCTTGGGAGACTGAGGCAGGTGGATCTCTAGGAACCAGAGGCAAGCCTGGTACAGCAAGTTCCAGGCTATTCAAGACTACACAGTGAGATTCTGCCTAAAAATAAAAAGAGCATTATGTATATAACAACACAGAAGTTCCTGAATTTGCAGATCATCAAATATCTTTGATGATCCTCTTTGGTCTTTTCATCCCATTAATACACCAGCACCAGTTTTCTTCCCGAGGTGATTTTAACTTCTAAATCGGTTTTCCTCCCTTTGGCCGGCGTGAGGTAAACATCACACTCCACGGAGTTGAGGGTGGCGGCCCCTGGGCTTCTCCTCATTCCTGTCACTGCCTCGATTTCCTACACTAGCTTCCTGGCACACAACACGTCTGCCTCCGCAAGGTTAGAACTACTAGCTAGTGTGAAGAAGAGAATCACAGTTTTTTGTTGTTGCTTTTGTTTTTCGAGGCAAGGTTCCTCTGTGTAGTCCTGGCTGTCCTGGAACTCGCTTTATAGACCAGGCTGGCCTCGGACTCACAGAGATCCACCTGTCTCTGCCTTCTGAGTGTCAGTGGTCTGGTGTGTGCTGTCTGCTCCACTGTGAAGCTAAGCCTTAAATGCACAGAACTTTCCGAATCAGCCTAACCGTGCACTTACGATCATCAATGCCTTCTCCGCCTTTCCCACAGTCTCTGTTAAATAACCGAATTCCAGTTACGATCATGGTGAGCTCTTTCAGCTGGTGCTCTTTGTCCTTCTTACTAAGAGTCAGAAATGTCCCCAGCTCAGCCTGAGGAAAAACACTCTGCAGGGCAGCTGCAATAGATGGCAGAAAAACAGAACGGCAGAACAAAGGCAACAGGGCTTGGACTGAAAGCGTCTTTCTGTCTGTAAGAAGGATGTGCCTATCTCATGTGACTTGAACTCCTGATTCTCCTGTGTCCCACCTCCCAAGTGCTGGGGATTACAGCCAGGCTTACTATGCCTACCTCTATGCTCATTTTAAAGTATAAATTGGACGACCATTTCCCGAGAATAAAAAGATTTCCTCTTTCAAGATCCTAATCAGACACAAGACTCAATGCCCTCCAGCCATATGCGGCATTCCTTTCCAGCTGGCCCAACCACCCCATTGCTCAGTACCCTGACAATGCTGCCCATGTCCCCTCGTGAGGTGGAAGGGTCACGGGAAAACCCAGCCTCCAAGAAAATGAACACTATTTCACTGACACAGTGTCAGTGAAACGTACCTGGGTAGCTTAAGATTTATTGTTCTTTATGTGTTAAGTGGGAGTCTTTGTGTGAGTGTATATCATGTGTTCCAGTGCTCCTGAGGCCAGAAGAGGGTGTTGAGTCTGTGAGTTGCCTGACAATGGTGCAGGAAACTGAACTCAGGTCCTCTGGAAGAGCAGCAAACAATCTTAAACACTGAGCCACCTTTCCAGCCTATAAGGCTTTTGTTTATTGGTGGTTGTTGTCTTTCATAAGTTTAAAAAAAATATTATTGTTGTTGTTGTTAGCACAGAAAATAATGGGTTTCATCATGACATTTTCAGAGTCCATGTTCCATGATTGTACTTCGGCCATATTTACATCCCCATTACCTTCCCCTGCCCCTCTTCTCCACTCCTCCTGCTCCCCACAGACAGTTCCCTCTATGAATTCATGTCATACATATATTAATTCCATATATGAGAGAAAACTGAGTATTTTGTCCTCCTGTTTCCCTCTTTTGTTCTCCGCTTTGATTCTGCTCTCCCTCCTTACAGTCCCCTTCTACTTTCAAGTCACATACATTCTTAAACATTTCTAGGAACCTGGGTACATTTGAACTTCTTATCTGTGCTGATTTTCTTTCAGCTAAGAAGGAAATTTCAATCTTTAGCATATTTTATAAAATACAATGGCAGGGACTAAGGAGATGCTCAGAGGGTCCAGTGCTTGCCACACAAGTGTGACGACAGAGTTTGTATTCTCAGACCCCTGTAGGCCAATACTGGGCAGGCGCGCAGCCAGCCAGGAACCTCAGAATCATAGAGGGGGAGCCTGGGGATCCCCGAGACAAGCTGGCTACCTAGACTGGCCAGAACGAAATGGAGAGTTCTGGGTTCAGTAAGAAACCCTGCCTTAGTAAATAAAGCGGACAGCACGGAGGAAGGCAGCGTCAGTCTTTGGCCTCTACATACACATGTGCACATATGCGCACAAGCCTCCACTCACACAGAGGCGCAAACACACATGCGCAGACTATACACATTAGTACAATGGGCATATGGGTTCATTACTCTCTTTTACCTGTTGCCTCCCTGACAATCTTGATGTCTGTGGGGGATCCCAGCCCAGACCTCAGTAACACATAGCTAACGATCTTTCGGTAGAGACTCTCCAGTTCTTCTCTAGCGCATGCTCTGTTGTCTGTAATTTCTCTACTAACAGCACACAATCTGGACTCCAAGACCCGGTGATGCTCTTCAAGAAAGTCCTCTAAAATTAGCAAATAACAGTATTTCACTTCTTCAATACTTAGAATTCTCCTCAGATAAGGACTAGAGAAAAACTGGTTAGTGTGTGGCAATTTGATGAAAACAAAAGCCCCTGACACCCTACCTTCAATGCTAGATTTGAACCCCCCTGGGCTAAATCCTAAACCCTGACTTCTTAAGATATAATGATGAAATAAAATACAGTGGCCATCAAGAAGCCTGAATACGGAAACGTTATTACAGGAATTTCAATAGAGTATTCTGTCAAAACATAAATGTCAGCACACATAAATATGTAAATATATGTAGTACAACATTAAATGTGTAGTCTATATATTCTTCTTCAATTATACTTATTTTATTCCTAAGTAAATGTCCTTTGAATAATATTACTGATAATGCAATACTGCATCGTCTTAGTTAGGGTCTCTATAAACACCATGACCAATAGCAATCTGGAAGGAAAGGGTTTGTTCAGCTTACACTTCCACATCACTGAGAGAAGCCAGGGCAGCAATCTGGAGGCAGGAACTGAAGCTGCTTACTGGCTTGCTCCCAGGAGTTTGCTCAGCCTGCTTTCTTGTTCAGCCCAGGGTTACCACCGCCCACAATAGGCTGGACCCTCCCACATCCGTAATTAATCAAGCAAACACTCGGAGACTTGCCTATAGGCCAACATGATGGAGTCACTTTCTCAATTGAGGTTCCTCTCTCCAGTGATCCTCACTGTGCTAAGCTGACAAAAGCAAACTTGCCAGTAAATGCCTAAAGAATTTATCCTTCTTATTTCCTGTGTTGTGTTGTGGCTGGAGACCACCTTTACTGGCATAACAATTCATGTAACTTAGTAAACACTCCCAGTCACAAGGCAACATCTATATCTATAATTCCACTAGAAAAGCAACTGAGAACTTTTACAAACTGAAAAAATAGGAATTGACTTTCTCTAATTCCATGTTTTGGAATTTCATTGTTATTAAGCAAAAATGGGGGCTGGAGAGATGGCTCAGCGGTTAAGAGCATTGCCTGCTCTTCCAAAGGTCCTGAGTTCAATTCCCAGCAACCACATGGTGGCTCACAACCATCTGTAATGCGATCTGGTGCCCTCTTCAGGCATGCACACAGACAGAATATTGTATACATAATAAATAGATAAATATAAAAAAGCAAAAATATAAGAGATATTATTTATATATTATCACAACTGAACGCTTACTGTTCAGAAAGAAATCACCAAATTAATCATGACTGCATTATTAAAAAAGTTTATTTTCCCCCATTTCTAACATGTCTTTGATATATACCTTAAATATAAATAGAAAATATAATAAATATAATAAAATATATTCTTAACTTAAACTTCCCACTAAATACTTTACATAATTATTACATAATTTAAATATTATAAAATAACAAACCAAGACTAAGAAAATCTAAAAATTAAGAATTTTAACTTCAATGGTTTAGTTTCTAATTGTTATATATTTGTCCCGTAAAGGTTAAAAATAGATAAACTTGGAAACATAATTTTACAAGTGTATAGTTTTAAGTTGACTTTTAGCATTCTTAAAGGCAACAAGCATTTTTCTCCTTTGAAGTTCCAACACTATTCTGTTCTTAGACACGGTGAATTGCTTCCCAGCATTCATGTGTTAAAGGGTTAGAGATGGTTGACCTTGAAGAGGTGGGATCCCGTGGGAAGTGTTGGTGTCACTGGAGGTGTGTCCTTTGGGGACTTCCCTGCCTCCTCTTCTCCTTCACATCCCAACTATGAGACACATATTTCTGCCATGATGTGCCTCCATGGTCGAAAGCAACATGGCCAACAAAGCCTGTACAAAATGCTCTAAAACTGGACCCAAGCAAACTTTTTCTTTGTGTAAACTGTCTCAAATATTTTATTAATAATAACAAAAGATTGCCTAACAGATCAAAGATGGAAAATATCAAGACTGACAAAAATGTATTTCATTAAACAATTAAATCTGTTGTCAATCAAACCTTTCTTACCTAAAATGCAATGTTTAAAAAAAACCTCTTTTAAAATGCACGAAAATAAGTGTTTATGTTACCTCGACTCGTGTAATTCATATCGAAGTAGACCTGCATCTTAATGGTGTCCAGGGATGGATTTTTACTGTCCAACAGTCGAGCCACACAAAGCTAGAAGAGAACATTGCATGAATGCTTCTACTATATTTTCCAAAACACTCAAGTGGTTTGTTTGCTTGTGTTTTGGATTTTGAGACAAAGACCATATAGACCAGGCTGGTCTCAAACTCACTATGTTGCTGAGGATGATCTTGAATTGATAATCCTCCTGCTCCCACTCCCTCCCCATTGCTCGGATTACCACACCTGGTCTTATGCAGTGAATGCCTGGGTATCTAATACAGGGCTTTATGCATACCAGGCAAGCAGTCTATCAGCTGAGGTTTGCTCTTCTAAGTTATTTTCAAGAAGAAAATGAGCAAAGCATCATGGTATACTCCTGCAATGCTAGCATCTCAAGAAACAGCACCTGGAGGACCTACACAAGCTTCAGCCAGAACTACAAAAAAGGCCAGAGAGGGGAGGGAGAGAGGAGAGAAACAATAAAGAGAAAAACATCACAGCAGTGGTCCTGATGATCAGGCAATTGTCGAGTTGGGAGCATAGGCCCCAGCCCCTCGCATCTATCCCAGCCCCCAGGCCTGGTCTGGACTCCAAATTCCAGCAGGCCAGGTCCTGACCCCACAGGAGGGGTCAGGACCACTTCCCAGGGTATTTAAATAAGTTCCCAAAAGAGGAACACGTGATCCCTTTTCCTTTCTCCCGGTGTTGGAGTTCCTGAGCTCGGCTTCCCTTCCCCGTTCTCCCTCTGGGCCACCCGAGAGTGCAGAACTCCCATTAAGCCTGGATATTTCTTAATTTGGCTTGTTTTGATTTGGCTTGATTGGGAATTTTGCGTCAGCAGGGAGCTCGCGTTAGGAAATATTCCTAACAGCGACAACCACTTTTATTGTAATCTTTTTCTTCCTTGAGGACATCAGGGTTTATATTTTCCACGATCAACACAGTAAGTTCTTTACCAGGTCTAGCTGAAGGCAAGATGCCTGACATGTTGGTGAGTTTAAACTTGTACTCTATTCTATAACTCTCCCAGAACTCCTGTATATTATTTGGGTCTGATTAACACCCTACTGATGGTGGAGGTCACGTTTTATAAAACTCTGCTTCAGTTACCCTCATCCCCTCACACAGTTTCTCGATTTCTACTCATTTTTAGATTTCTTCTGCTCCCCTCTCCCAGCACACACGTAAATGATGCATGCCCTCTCTAGACTTGGATGATCACCCATCCGCCTCCCTTTCACCTGGCCTTCCTGGACTCCTCCCATCCAGGCCCTGCCCTTCACACACCTGCTGCTGGAAGGCAGACAGCAGCATCCCTCTGAACCGTCCCCAGCCCCACCAGCCCTGCTCTCCTAGGAGTGCGGAGGGAAAGGACAAGACTAAGCAGCCTGTCTGTGCACCTAGGTCCCTGGGTGGGGGAGTGACCTTACAGTAGACTTTACAAATCCAAAGGTGCCTTTATCCAGTGGCTTTTAATTGAGTAAAAACAGGCAACAATTACTGTTGTTAAGATTACCACGTACTCGCTGGGCGGTGGTGGCGCACGCCTTTAATCCCAGCACTCGGGAGGCAGAGGCAGGCGGATCTCTGTGAGTTCGAGACCAGCCTGGTCTACAAGAGATAGTTCCAGGACAGGCTCCAAAACCACAGAGAAACCCTGTCTCGAAAAATAAAAAACAAAACAAACAAAATAAAAGATTACCGCATACTGTGAGAAGTTGTGCTTGTACCACATTAAAAGGATACTGAACTTGAAGCTTAACAACTCAGCTGAATTAGGGAGGGAAAAAACCTAAAACTGCTTCCTGGACCAATCCTTGAATCTCCTCTGTAACCTCCCATAGTTTCTGAATATCACAACCATTTCCCTATTGCTAAGAACAGCATTTATACCACACTTAAAGTTCACCAAGGCCAACTTTAGGCTGTCCTGTGGTCTCAGGGAGTTTCTGCAGCATCATCCTGATAAGACACTCTCCTCCCCAGTTCTAGGTTTGCAAGTCTTCCCCACCCCTACCACATCTGCAATAGACCTACTGTCTCTCCTTCAGGTTGTGAGAGAAGGTGGGGATTAGTGAAACATTCCCCTGCCATTTCTGCGAGTCAATAAAATCGCCACATACAGGTTTGGGGCAGCTCACACTTCCTTCGCGTGAAGAAAGGAAACAAATTCATTAAGGCTAGGACAGACAGCAACGTTGAACTTTTAGGAAATACAGAGGAAGCAACTAAATTGGAGTCTCCGACTTAAGACACTGGACATTACAGATATCTAAAGTCCTCCTCTTGGGTTCTAAAAACAGGTTTTCAAGCACATTTCCTTGCTTAGTAAGGTAATTTTTGCTTTGACTTTAACATAATTACATGGAATCCATTATGCAGGTCTTAATTCAGAACTATTTAACTCCACAGTACAGTTGTTGACCGTCTCAATGTTAGATAACGAGCAGGGTCTCACCAGAACACTGTGGCAGGCGTTGTTAGCCCTGACACCTGGGCCCCACCTTCCCTACTAACACGAAACCACAGGTTCGCATTATGTGTCCTTAGGGCCACTTACAACCGCACTTGACCAGTAAATATAACCATAAGAAACTCTTAGTTTTGGATGGAAAGTGACAACACATTTGACTGGAGCAACTAATTTTCCCTTTGTCTTTCTCCTCCCATCAGGAGGTATGACAATGACTCTGTGACATGGGGGAAAGCCAAGAATGAGGACCAAGGAAGCCAGGAACAACCTAGGTACCTCCAGACTTTAAAAAGCATCTAGGAACGCTCTTAACACTGGGTACCACATTTTAAAAATTTTGCTAAGACAGTAATTTGCAAAATTAATCATTCTTACCATGAAAGCAACCACTGTTTCAGATGCAATCTCTCCGTGGGCTGCACATTCTTGTCCTATTTCTCGTATAATATTCTTTATAACACTTTCTGCTTGAGTGGGAGGCATTGTGGCTAAATAAAGCAATATTTTTTTTAGTAATTTCGCTGATATATTTTCTTCTTTAGATTCCGTTATTAGATCTGGAATAACCACAATGTCTACTGAATTATTGCCGTTTAATTATGATCTAGTTTCCTCCTTTATCCATCTTAAATGACTTTATTAATGACAGAGCATAACTGGGATTTCCCCCTTATTTAAATGGTGCCACCATCAAAAATATATATTGTAACATTTAAAAAAAATTAGCCAGGTATGATGGAACATGCTTTTAATCCCAGTACACGGGAGGCAGATGAAGACAGATCTCTATGAGTAGCCTAGTTTACATAGCGAGCCAGGGCTACATCGAGAGACCCTGCCTCAAAAACAAAATACAACACAGAAAAAAAAAATTAAATCTTAACCAAATGTGGGAGAAAAAAAAAAAACTTACCACCCTATCTGCGTAGGCAGCAAGAATACAGCTTGGAAAAGAAAAGGCTTAACCACACATTCTCTGGAGGGCTTTTCACAACTCTAGCCTAATCTTATAACAGTAGGAAGATTTCCTCGGATTATTCCATCCTTGGGATATGAACGCTAACAAAAACATAAAAAGCAATCAATGAAAATGTGAGGGTTATGAATATCGAAAAAAGAACTGGCTATAATTTCATCCATTATAAACTAGGAAAGAGTGGGAACTTTAAGTCAAGGCTCCTGATTTTCTTTCCTGTGTCAGTTAACTCAAGTAAGAGAAAACAATGGCAGGGGCGCTCTGAAGGTTGGTTAAAGTAGCCTTGGGCATTTTGTACGGGAAACCAGACAGCCTGGTGTGCATCACGGTCCAACCACATCTCTTTGGGAGTCAGTTTGCTCATCCGAAAAGGATGGGTGCTGGTGTCACCTTCTCCTGAATTTATGAGTACACTGTGGTTAGAAAAGTCCGCGGCTTGGCACAAGAACCCAAGCGTCGCGCCAGAGAGCTTCTCTGTGGGTGTGTCTAAGACTTGCAGTTCCCGCGCGCTTGCGCAGAGCTGGAGGCCCGCCACCCACCCCTGTCAGTTACCGACCACCAGCACCAGCTTCGCAGCGGTCGGACGTCTGTCTCCTCTCCGGGTACACCCGCCTTTAAGGACCCGGAGTTCTCAGGGCGCTGGCTTCGGCCCGAACGCCAGCCGGCCGCGGCTCTCCCGGCCAGCCCCAGAGCCCAAGCAGCGGAGGCGTAACCACGGAAACCGAACGCGACGTCCGAAACTGGGGGCGGGGCCGGGCCCTGGAGGTGGAGCCAGAGGGCGGGGCGGGGCCGCTGGGGTGGAGCCTTGAGGCGGGAGTCCCTGGGATGGAGCCTTGAGCAGAAGGGTATTGGGTTCCCTCTCAGTTCCCCAAGAGACAAGCAAAAGAGCTCAATTCCAGGTGAGAAAGGTGTTTTCGCTACACCTCAGTATTAAGGCAATGAAACACGAGTTCTGAAACAAATGTTGGCCGTACAACCAGTCATACTGTTCGTGATAACTTGCTAGCGTGGAGACATGGGGAGGAAAACGCATCCATTGAAGAGAATGAGAAAACTTAGGGTTCGTATCAATGTTTACAGTGTTTTTCAAAGAAATACTTTCATTTCTCTTGCTCAAAGGAAGTCTGTAAACTTGTATTCCAAAATGCCTGAATGAAAGTTTTATTTATTATGTATTTACTATTATTTTTTATTTAAGTCGGGAAGTGCATTCAAACCAGATCTGTCGATGCAGGCCCCTAGTCCCAGGCTTTGGGATGCTGAGATAGGAAAACGCAGGTTTAAGACACCCTACACTGTATAGTGAGACTCTGCCCCCACCACCCAGAAGATGCAAGTAAGGAAACCTCTGTGTTTGGAATTGGGGGAAATCATTTTTTGTTTGTTTGTTTGTTTGTTTGTTTGTAGGAGAGGCTAGCACTGTGTAGTCTTGGATGGTTTGGAACAAGACATGTAGACCAGGCTGGTCTTGAATTCACAAAGACCTACCTGCCTCAGTCCCCCAAGCCCGGGTCGTGTGCCACCATGCCGGGTCAATGATGGTCGTTTGATTTTAAAAAATATTTGTTGCAGGGTTGGAAATAGTCTCTAAGGTTATGAACATTGGCTATATTTCCAGAGGACTGGGCTTGATTCCCAGCACCCACAAGACAGCTCATAACTGTCTGTAACTCCAGTTCCAGGGGAGCCAACTTCTGGCCTCTGCGCATACCAGCTAGGTGGGAATCTACAGACATACACCCTGGCACAACACCTATGCACATAAAATAGTAAAATAAAATAATAATACTTTTTAAAGCTTTCAGTGTTTCTTGGGTAAACATAAGGAACAATATTTTATTTTCTGTTATATCTAGTTATTTATGAGGCACCCATGAAACAACACACTTGTGAAAGTCACAGCCAGCAGGAGCCCGCTCTCTCCTACCACGTTTGTTCTTGGATCTGTTCACCCACAGAGACATCCCAACAAACTGTCCTAGTGACTTTGTTGCTGGGATGCACACCATGGCCGAAAGTAACCCGAGGAAGAGCAAGTTTAGCTTTCATTTCCAGTGGAGGGAAGTGAAGGCAGGAACCTGGAGCAGGAGCCAGGGAGGAACACTGCTCACCGGTTTCCTTGCTAGCTCATGCTTAGCCGGCTTTCTTTTTTAAAAAGTTATTTTAATTTTTCTTTATGCATTTAATTAATGTGTGTGCATGTGTTGGGTAGGGGTTCCCATGAAGGCCAGAAGACACCATCAGATCCCTTAGAAATGGAGTTACAGGTACTTATTTGATGTGGATGCTCTGAACTGAACTATTATCTTCATGGTTGAGCATCAAGTGCTCTTAACAGCTGAGCATTCTCTCCAGTCCCATAGCTAGCTTTCTTATACAGCCCAAACCCACCTGCATAGGGATGGTGCCACCCACAATGGGCTCCACCCTTCCACATCAATAATCAGTCAAGATTATCTCCTACAGATATGGCCACATCCAAACTTCCCGAGAAATCACTCTGTTGAAGGGCTCTCTTCCCAGAATGTGTCACGTTGACCATTAAAACTAAGCAGGACATGAACATTATCTTGAAGCGACAAAACCCAGGCCGAAACAAAGGTTAAAAGCAGAGCTTTAACCAATACAATTCTGTTTGATTTTGCTGAGTTTACTTCTCTCCTTTTATAGACAGGATCTTGCTGTTTTGCAAATGCTCACCATTTTACCATCCGCTGCCTCAGCCTCTCAAATGCTGGGATAAAGGTGTGCACCATCTCAGCTAGCCAGAATTTTATTTGCGTATGTGTGTGTGGTATGTGCATGTGTGTGCATGCATGCTCACATGCCTGTGAGCACATAGCTGGTACATGTACAGTGTATGCATGTGGCGGTGCAAGAGAGACAATGGGTTTCTTCCTTACATGCTGTTCACTTTCTATACTAAGCCAAGAGCTCCTGCTTCACTTAGTTTGGTACCTAGTTTGCTGCAGCATTTGTCTCTACCTCCTATGGGATGAGATCACAGGCAAGCCAACACACCCACCTGCCTTTTTATGTGAGTTCTGGGGATCTTCGAAATTATGTGGCAAATGCATTTGCTGCTGCTGGTGGTGGCAGCAGCAGTGGCAGCTTAGGGCTTGGAATCTTTCTACCTAGTTTGCTTTTTCTTTCTTCCTTCATTCAATGATGGGGATCAAATCAAGGACTCCACAGAAGATAAGTAAGTGCTCTATCACAAAGCTGAATCACTATCCCTAAGTCTGTCTCTCCCTGAGCTGGAAATACCTAACTGGGTCCAGCTGGGGTCAGCCAACCTCCAGCCAAGCTGAACATGTGTGATGAGTGTACTTCAAACTGCTGAGCTTAGGGACTGATGTGGGATTCCCCTCTGTATGGTGAATAAAGAAACTGCCTTGGCCTTGTTGATAGGGCAGGGTAGAGCTGGGGGTGGGGAGGGGAGGACACTAAACTGAATGCTGGGAGAAAGGAGGCAGAGTCAAGGCGAAGCCATGGAGCCTCTGCCGAAAACAGAACCTTGCCATAGGCCACAAGCCTCGTGGTAAAATATAAAATAATGGAAATGGGTTAAATTAAGAGATAGCCAATAAGAAGTTAGAGCTAATAGGCCAAGCAGTGATTTAATTAATACCGTATCTGTATGGTTATTTCGGGTCTGGGCAGCCAGGAACAAGTGGCCTCCCAAAACAGGATGGTTTAATAAAGTCTTATGGTGATTATTTAAACCTTTCAATGATCTTACAAGTAGTAAGCTAGGCATACTGGCCCACAGCTGTGGTCCCAGCATCCAGGATGCTGAGACTGGAGGGCCAGGGTTCAATGCCCGTGTGGGCTTTCTAGTGAAATCCCACCACAAGCAAGCATCTACTGCTGTTGTGAAAATGCTCATGTAGCACTTGGCACAGTGTCTTGTAGTAAAATATGGACTTGGGTGCTATTACCATCACTGTTATGACTGAGTCCTCATGGAACTAATTTTTCCTAGTTATAAGAAGGAATCAATTTAGAAAGGGACTAGACTATATTAAGAGACCAGTAAAAGGAATCATGTCTATTTAGTATACATCTTGAGAAAATGAAGGCAATAAAACTATTCTTTTTGTTAGCAAAGAGCCGGACTTTGTTTCAGAAGACCAGGTTAGAAATCTACATAAAGTGATGGATTTAACTTAAAAGATAATAAGTAGGACTGACAAATTTGGAATAGATGCTATTCTGTTGGAATGTTATATCCCCAGCCAAAGGTCTGAGTAAGATGGGTCTGGCAGAGTATTCCAGAAACAAGCCAGAGAAAGCTAGAGAGGCCAGTGATTCTTGACAATGTTTGGGTTACATCGCAAAGTAGAATGCGGAACTTCACAAGGAAGAGGACCAAGTCAGACCCCTTAGAGAGTGTGGTTTAGTGTGGGGAGCTCTCCACATTCAGTGAGACAGAATGCCAGCAGCAGACCATGGGAACCAGCGATGCTTAGAAAACTGGCACCACGCTTTCAGTAACTGACTCTTTAAAGAGCAGATAAAGAGGAGGTACCCGGTATAGCGAAAGCACTGCAGAAGGAAACAGTGGGAAAACCTTCTGTTCTTGGTGCTGGAAGCTCAAGGTTCTACACTTGACAGAGCAGCTGCAAGATCCTGTTTCATAAAGAACCCTCTTGGGGCTGGAGAGATAGCTCAGCAGATAGAATTCCATGCTCAAGCACAAGGATTTGAGTCTGGATCCTGGCACCCACATAAGCCAATGGGGTCCCCAGGTGTGTTTAAAAACTTACATTTAGGGCTGGAGGCTGGAGAGATGGCTCAGCGGTTAGGAGCACTGCCTCCTCTTCCAAAGGTCCTGAGTTCAATTCCCAGCAACCACATGGTGGCTCACAACCATCTGTAATGAGGTCTGGTACCCTCTTCTGGCCTGCAGGCATACCGGCAGACAGAATATTGTTTACATAATAAATAAATAAATATTAAAAAAAGAAAAAGAAAAAAAACTTACATTTAAAAAACGTTAGCTTTTAGTGAATAGGGTTTTAGAAAAGTCCTATAGGTTCAGGTCTTCTTTCCCTTTTAGTGATTGTTGGCATCAGCGGTCCAGAGCCTCACAGGGCATGCGTCAGGCAGAGGACTCTGGATCCCTAACTTGTATAGATACTTTTCTTGCAGGGCCCAGAATTTAAAATTTGTCTTAATATATTTGATGAAAATTGATGTTTTTGTTAACCAGACAGTAATCTGTCTGCTGTAGGTTACACTCCACGAGGCAAACAATCTAAGAACATGCTCCTTCGCTGATTTCCAACTGCACAAACGTGCGTGTGCTCACACGTCAGGTGGAGAAAAGAATCAAGCCAGCTACAGAAGTGGGTTTTCAATTAGTGTGTCCTCTCTCTGTAGATAGAGGTGGTACTCACACCTTGGCATATGCTTTTGAATATTGTGGTTTTCCATGAAAAGAGAAGCAGAGGGAGCGGAGAGAGCAAAGACCCGCCAGACCTGAGCATGTTTGAAAATGCCATATGAAATGCATTACTTTGAAAATGGCAAAAAGGGGACAAAAGAAAAAAAAACCCAGAAATCTATCATTTGTATGACAACTTGAAATGTCAATTAAAAATTCTTACAGCCCAATAGTACACTGAACAGATATAAACCAATGGTATTGAGTGTATTTATTCAGCTGTGGGAAGCTGTCTCCGTGGAGACATTTCAGCT